TCCATGTAGACATGTACTGTGGACTATCTGTCTGCATGGGCCCTATTTTCTCCTCCTCTATTTGTATATGGGCCTCAATAACCTATTTCACATTGATTGGAGAAAAATGGAATTTTTTAATGGGTAATATAGGTGGCACAATATCTTTGATATCATGGTTTGTCACTATCTCATCACGGAGTCCTGCCCAAAAGTTATCACTGCGGATTTGAATACATGAAATTCACAAGATTAGTTTCAGTTTAATTGTAAATAAAATATGAAAGAATTGTTCTTTTGGGATAGAGATATTACCCAGGTTGAGTACTTAAGCAGTATTCTTCAATTTTGTCCCTGTCCTCTTTCAGAATTTTCTACCAAACCTTCCTTTGACCCCATCCTAGTTTTTTCTTTTTTGGCCTTTTTTTGTCTTTTTTGGCCTTTCATCTTCATCATCTGATTTTTGCAGACCTACAGGTATTGAATCATGAAGGTTTGTTCCTTTTGGAGAATCAGGAAGTGGATTTGTGGCATCGGGCTGAGATGCCTCTTGTGTTGACTACAGATTGAAAGGAAACTAATCAGAAACTGCATTGGATAAAATGGAAACTGCAATGCAGAAAATAGAAATTGCATTGCAGTTTCCCTTTATGTAATGCAAAAAACTTAAATATAAAATAAAATAAAAAAAGGAAGCTTGAATTGCAGTAATTGCATACCTCCATCTGATTTTGAGGATCCTCTTGTGTTGATAGATCCTCGAAAGAGATAAGCTTGAATTGTGGTATTTCTTCATCATCATCCTTATTTGCCTCCTTTTTTGATTGCTTATCTTTTTCGTACTCATAGCAAGATGCTTGAAGCCTCTTTCTTTCTATGTTCTTCACCCTTTGTATTCTTGAAGGAACATCAGGTGTTTGAGCATCTTGCTTCTTCTCTTCTTGTTTCTCTTTTTCTTTGTCTTCTTCTTAGCATGGATTCAAATTCAAGATACATTAAAATAGAACATGCGATAAATTGCATACCTCAATGTCATTTAAGTCCTTTATTTGGTTTAATCTTGTGTGGAGTTCCACAAGACTCCATTTAAGAATGGCATGTCACATTTCGAGATCGGCTCCGCCGTAGCACGATATTGTCCGCTTTGGGCCCCCCTCTCTGCCCTTACAGTTTTGTTTCTGGGAACTCACAAGCAACTTCTCAGTGGGTCACCCATCCTGGGATTGCTCTAGCCCCAACTCGCTTAACTTCGAAGTTCCCATGACTCCAAAGGCAGTGAGCTCCCAAAAGGCCTCATGCTAGATGGAGATGTGCATATGTACATATAAGGCTCATCACCCCCTCTTCGTTGGTCGATGTGGGATGTTACATAGCAGAAGTTTCTTTCTCCTTGCCAATGATTGGTTGTATGATGTTTGTCCTCTCACACAGAAGAAACTGCACAGTTCAAAAACAAATATATAAAAAATTAGGTTGGAAACTGCATTGCATAAAACAGAAAATACATTGCAGTTTCCATTTTTACATTGCATAGGCCACTGTATACTTACCAATATTAGGATAGTGCAACCCGAAACAACTTCTATAGATGTTTTTCCTCCCTTCTTTGCCTTTGCTTGTGTGATCAAGGATTCATTTATGTAGGCTGAAACAGCTCTTGCCCACGAAAAGCTTGAAAGTGTGTCTAGATTTACACAGTGCTCAACTATTTTCCAGTGCAAAGTGGATGAAGAGTTGGCAAAGAGGAATGTCATGCAGAGCAGAATTAAGATTAGGCTGACCACCTCCTTGTCGTAGTCAACAACCTACTTTTTCTCTTTGTCTTCCCCTTCTTCTTCTTCTTCTTCTTCTTCTTCTTCTTCTTTTGCTTTTCCTTTGTTCGTTTTCTTCTTTTGCTCTGCCTTGGCCTTTTCTTTCTTCAATTGGTTTGCCAAGGCAATTGCCTTTTGTAATTCTTATTCTACCATGTTTTTTGATGGTTTTGACTTTTCTCCAAAGTGCCTTGTCCTGAACATAGCAATGTATCTGTCATGGCCAAGTTTGACAAATTTTCCTTCGTTTGGCAATCCTAGAATCTCAGTCATTGCTTTGCTTGTGATCTGGAATGATTTGGTGCCAAATTTGAAGTACTTTGTATTTGGATCAAACTTCTTGAGTAGCTGTACTAAGTCGAGGTCCGACTTATTCATGTTATTCATGTTGTTTGTACCATATCTGACCCTCCACTCATTCAATGACACGTGGATCAGAGAAACTCCCCAAGTGCCTAAGGCTCCGAACAATCAGCATCGGCTACCGATGATATTGTCTCAAAGCAGCAAACGGTCGCTACAGACCCAGTATTGTCTACAATCGGTATCCCCTACCGATTTTGCAGAATCAACCTCGAAGCACCCGCCCGAAATATCTAAAGACTCGTTTCAACCTCATAGGGCCCTCCCACGAGTCCCACATCGAAATTAAGTACTAAGAGCATACAAAATGCCCTCTATAAATAGGCCCTTCACTACAATATAAGGGTAAGACTTTTCAGCTTGACTTTTATACTAATATATTGTCAACAGCAAAAGCTCTTAGAAAACAAACTTACTTCGGCATCGGAGGGTCTTAGGCTGGTTCCACACCGGTTCCATAGACCTTACGAGTCTTGGCTTCCTTCTATTCAGGATCTGCATCCAAGGACAGGGAGGATCAGCATCTGGCACTCAATCGATCTCTAAAGTACTTCGGCATCGGAGGGTCTTAGGCTGGTTCCACACCGGTTCCATAGACCTTACGAGTCTTGGCTTCCTTCTATTCAGGATTTGCATCCAAGGACAGGAAGGATCAGCATCTGGCACTCAATCAATCTCTAAAAATCGTCCACATCACTTGTAAGTTGCACTCATCTCTATCTGTTCAAGTTTTAGTGCCAACACATGTCAATTCTCTGGTGGTAAAACAACTCAATCAAGTTCCAGAAGGGGGTTTTCTTGAGCAACTTCTTCAGCCTTTCATTGAGCATGTCTTTACCGTCTTTAACGATGCTGTTGAAAGCATTGACGTTACACCGAAACTGGACATAGTACAAGTGCTTTGCTTTTCGATCATAGGTTGGCTTTGATTTTCTCTTTTGAGCCATCATTTTGATTCTTGGCTTTCGTTGGTTTTAAGCTTCATTCTTTTGTGGTGACATTTCTTGTGCCATTTGTGATTTGAAACAAGAAGGGATTAAAACACTATTAGGACAAGTAGAGATAAACTACAAGGAAGAAGTATAAATAGTTTAGCAGAAAATACTGCAATGCAGTTTGTGGCTCATTGCATTGCATTAACGCAAACTGCATTGCATTAGTAGAAACTGCAATGCAGTTTCCTTTAATGCAATGCAGTTTGTAGTTCATTGCATTGCATTAACGCAAACTGCATTGCATTAATGGAAACTGCTTTGAAGTTTTCATTAATGCAATGCAGAAAACAGAAATATTTGATGCTCTTCCTCTTTTAAAAGGGGCAATCTAAAAGGCAAAACATCAAACATAATAGACATTTAATAGGAGCAATCCAAAACGCAAAATATAACAGAATATATACATCAACTTGACATGAAATGGAAAGATTAGCATAGTCAAAACAAGAATTACAAACTAAACCAGTGCAGTTTCCGTTTTCTTCAGTGCAAAAAACAGATATATTTGATGCTCTTCCTCTTTTAAAAGCATCAATCCAAAACACAAAACATCATCAAACATAATAGAAATAGGTAATAGGAGCAACCCAAAACACAAAACATAACAGAAACTATACATCAACTTGATATGAAATAGAAAGATCAGCAAAGTCAAAACAAGAACTACAAACTAAACCGGAAACTGCAATGCAGTTTCCCTTTTCTTCAGTGCAAAAAAACATATATATTTGATGCTCTTTCTCTTTCTTTGGTGATTTTTTGGTTTTTAGAGGTTTTGAAACAAATAGAAAGATCAGCAAAGTCAAAACAAGAACTACAAACTAAACCGGAAACTGCAATGCAGTTTCCCTTTTCTTCAGTGCAGAAAACATATATATTTGATGCTCTTTCTCTTTCTTTGGTGATTTTTTGGTTTTCCCTATAAACGAAGAATGATTTTTTGGTTCTCTTTCAAAACCTAAACTACATTGCAGAATGAAGAATGAATAGTAGGTAAAATTTGTAAAATCCTTAATCCCTATAAACGAAGCAAAACCTTAAAAAAGAGTAGTTTTGAATCCAAAGAGTCATCCATTTTTCCAAAGGAAGCATGCATAACAAACAGTAGTGAAAATGTCTAAAATCCTTAATCCCTAAAATCGAAGGCAAATTCGTGTTAGATCGTTGATTTTCTTACGATTTTTTTCCAAGTGAGTGAGAATCGCTTCGATCGTCGTCGTTGTTTGTGGTCGTCGTTGATCGTGGTTTACCGTGAACGATCGTTGCTGTGCAGTCTTTGAGTTTTTGGGAATAGTGTGGAACTGTTGAAGGCGGTTTCTCGAAGTGAAGATGAAAGGTCGCGCGAAGGAGGTTAGCATTCAAAGAGTAGATGTCGTTTTTGGTTACATGTTTGGTGTTTTGATGTCGTTTTGACAGCTATAAGTTTTGGTTTAAAACTAAATATTGAAATTTGGTAGCTTACGTTGTAATTTTGATGTTCTTTAATTGTATTTTGGTTATAGTAGATACTAAATTTTGGCTTTTGGCTTTATCCTAATTAGCTGAAATTGGATTCCTACTTACCTAAATAGTAAACTGTATTGTGTGTGAAAACTAAAGCTCCCAAATTTAAATTAAAGAAACCAGTTTTGAATATTTAGTATTGAGCTGCATTTGCCACCAACCACGAACACGTATGGCCGTTGTAAGAGTTGGGTCGGATTGGTATAAGGTTTGAACCCAGCTTTAACAAGCAAACCATCCAAAGCCCAATATAAACAGGATTATTTGGCCAATTAAGAACTTTACAATAACTTTAATTTTCCAAAGAAAAAATAAATGGATGAAATATAAAGGAGAAAATTATAAGTTATTGCTTTCACCTTAAAGTGCACGCGTAACAAAAAGCACCACCACCTAAAAACCTACTGCAAATTACATACCAAGACGGAGAAAATGTGATGTATGTATTGATGATAAAATAAGATTTGATAAATTTTTTTGATGAAGCATGTACTCTGACTTAACTTAAAACTATGGTTAGAATAGAAGCATATTCAGAATCTACAGCAAAGAAGACTATGCCTCCAACCCCTATGTTTACGCAAATGCCTCCGGTCAGCTTTTGCCATTCTAACTGGACTGCTACTCCATTCAGATTGTAATCTGCATGCCAAAGAGGAAGAGGATATATCAATGTCTCAGTCATGCATATTCTGGGAACTTCATTACCAGTTTGAAAAGAAAAAGACAGATGAACGAGTTTGAGAGTAACTCACACAGGGAAGGCAAATGAGCGGGTGCTGGTGGTGCTGCTCTCTGATCGAAGGGAGACATTGCCGGAATAAGGACCTGATGTATTCATAAGACTCGAAAAATGACCTGCTGCAGAGAAACTTGATTCTCCGAAACCACGTTGAACATGGAATGAAGCATATTGTGTATCAGAATTCACATCTCCAACCATGAATGCGTTTGATGTTTCAGGGCATTGCCAGACACCATTTTCAGGACGTTCTTCTCTGGAAATTGTCACAGGTGCTAAATAATGTTGAACTTGGCTTGAAACAATCACTGAATGAGGAATTTCATCATCAACTTTGGACGTACTTGAAGTATCGAGAGGTTGACAGACTCCATTCTCAGGACACTCCTCTCTGCCAGTAACCACAGGTGCTGAACAAGGTTGAACTTGGATCGGAACAATCTCTGCATCAGGCATGTTGTTGTCGTTGTCATCTCCATTGTCACCTGCAGGCATCGTTTGAGTTTCAAAATGTTTGTGGACACCATTTTCAGGGCATGCATCTCTGGTAGTGGATACATGTACTGAAGTGTCCAACAAGCCAGAAGTAGTGCTTCCATTCTCCACCTTGCTATTGTTAGATAACTCATCGACATGGAAGTTTGATTCTTCAGCTGCTGAAACCAATGCCTTCTTCTCACTGTGAGTAGACTCTTCAGTTGCTGAAACCACAGCAGTGCTCCCAGTTTGTGCTATTTCACTTACTTTTTCACCTGAACTCTGCATTAAAACCACAGGAGACTACATCAAGTTATAAACTACAGTTTTCCTCAACATCAAGCTGAAATTTTAACTTCCACTAAGAGAAATTTTAAAAAGATTCTAGTAGAAAGAGATCGTTATAGAGCTGTCAGTTACACAGTACAACCGCAGACGTGTACTTGAGTGAGATATACCTGAACAGTGTCTTGTACAGCTTCAGTGCTGTCCTCATTAGAAGACTTGGAGGAGTGGGCGTTCCCTGCACCCAACTCTTGCATTGGCAACACATTTGCAGGGATAAAAATCTCTTTGGAAACTTCAATTTCAGTCTTCTCTTGTGTATAATATATAGCATCGCCTATCTGCGTCAGATCCTTGGAATCGCAAGGAATGACAAAACCCTTCTCTAAATCATCGTGTGCAGAAGATTTAAAACTGTCTGGAAGGGTCATAACGATATCCATTTGTTCTTCAAGCAGTTGCTTATTCTGATCCTCATCAGGAGATAAAAAGGTGCAGCATTCCTTCTCATCCACACCAGTCTCAAATCGGTTCTTGTCTTGGGAAGGCACTCCCTCATCAATGCAGATGTCCTTGATTGTATTGCAACTACTCTCTTTGTAGCAAACTATCAGTTCTGGCAGTTCACATTCCATAACACTTTTGTCCATATAATAATCTGATTCCTTCTCTAATGCTTCTAATTTTTCAGAAGAAAGAGTATATGGCGGCACAAAATCTTTGACCTCATCTTCATTACCATTTTCCAAATCATCCACACTCTTTGAACAATCAAACCTCGATGTAGGCAAGCCATTTTCATCATTTTTCACATATGGCACTTGACCAGCATCTTCTTCATTGTCCTTCGAACCACATGAAACCCTTTTCTGACTTTCCTTCATGATCCACTTTGCTGACTGTAATGCAGCAGAGTCCAGAGTAACTTCATTTTGACCAAAAGGATTAGAATCAGGCTTGTGGCTTATAGCTAAGTGGCCGAACACTGGTTCTCTCTCTGTAAAGTACATCAAAATTATCAATGCCGGTGAAATCTGAAGACCACAGTAATCATTTTTCTTTAAAATACGTAAAAGAACTTGAGATCATGGTTACAAAGGAAGAAACCAATTGCACCATAAAAGGAGTACTCCGACCCCTAGGGGCACCAACTTTATAAACCACAACGCACCCTCACAACACCAAGACAATGTGGGACTAAGAAGACGCATTCTAGATGAGTAATACTATTTATTGAAAAGCTCAAATGGAGGCCCAATCAAGAAGATAGACCTAAGAAACTTTGACATAATTTATTAAGATAAAACTATCCGGAAGAATAGAAGACAGAAAATTTTCATTTTCCCATTCTTAATGCAGGAACCAATTGAAAGGTCGAGACCATAAGCAGGATCCCCAATGCAGGAGTTCAACAACAGAGTGATCAAAACGAATAAGAAAAGTAGCCAAATGCAGGAGTTCAACAACAGAGTGATCAAAATGAATAAGAAAAGTAGCCAGTTCTTACCAAGTTTCATGGTTTACATAGATTGAGAAATGTAGGAGAAAGCTTCCAAGCTACAGCAAGCGATACTTTCAAGCATGGACCTGCCCATCAAGATGCAATCTATAGAGGTTAGCAACCAATTCAATACAAACCCACTTTGAAGAACTTGATAACAGGGAGACTTAAATAGAAACAAGGATGCTCAAGGTAAAGGAAGAAATGAGATGATTGCACACAAACATAATCACAAGATTCATGCTAACTACAACTTTATGAACTTTAAAACGATTAATAATCTTAAAAAGTGGCGCAAAATGTTAAAAACTACTTTTTTTTGCCTCTTGTTATTAAGGAAAATGTATTAGATAATGGTGGATTGCAACTGAGCAGCCGTAAAACCAATGGTAAGAAAAAGAAGATGCCGCCCATCGAGTTTTCCATCACATACATACAAAAGGAAAAACAGAAAGTAATTTGCCCAAGTGGAACCACTGTAAACAAGTCAACCCAAAATTTTGAAAATTCTTAGGGAAACAAACAAGAGTATCTGGCAATTTGGAAGTTTTTTTTGGTTCTGTACGAAAATAAAAGGAAAGGGGAAAATAACCAAAACAACAAAAAGCAATATTAAACTAAAAAAGAGGGAGACAGAAATCCGTCCTGAAAAACTTCGGTAGACAGTATGGAGTCCCAAAGTCAGTTCTTCTCACAGTAGAAAAAGACAAAGGGAAAAGTCGAAACATTTTTTAAAGAGGCACCACAAACTTTTAACAGCCAAATAAAAAGTAAAATAATAAAAATCAAAAGTCCAATAAGATGAGACCATCCTTTTACAAGATTCCCAGTACCCACCATCAATTTGTCAGGAAACACACCGATCAGATCCAAGTCTATGGGATTAAGCTAAACAAATAAATGAAAAAGGAGAAACCCAGAATTGCAATCTACAAAGGTGAACCCCAGATGGGCAACTAGTTATAAACCCAAAAACACAGTTGGGGAATAAAAAGATCTAAATCAGATCCTAGAAGGGGAAAAAACTTAAAAAGACGATACCTTTTCAATCTGGTAGTATACAAAACAGCAGCTTTCTCTTTCCCACTTCAGAAACAACTGCACCCAGAAGCCAGAAAACCAAAAGAACAAGAATTAGTGCCAAAATGAACTAAATTCAACTCAATTGAGAGCCAAGATAACCCCTTTACTTATAATTTCAGATCGTCACACTAGTATTCAATTCTAGAGAGAGAAAGAGACAGAGAGACAGAGAGAGACATGGAGAGAGAATGAACCTTAGCTCCTAGAACAGAGAGAGAAACATTCTAGAGTTAAATTAAAGCAGCAATAAAAATGATTAATCAAGAGAGCCGAAAAAGAAGTAGGCATGAGAGAGTTTGATGAGAGAGAGATAGAAGGAGAGATATAAGGGTAGGTTCAAAAAAGAAAAAGAGTCAAAATAATTAAACGGGCTCTTTGTTGTTGGCTTCTCTCCTAATTAATAGGCTTGGTTTCAGCATTTAATGTCAAAACCCATCCCAATTCATTTCACCTCCTCACTTCTTACCTGTCCCTCACCACCACTTTCCGTTTCCGTCACTTTCTCGTGAAAAAACCCAAAATTCTCCTTTCTATATTTTCCTTCCTTCCAAACAGAGCTCACCACGCCATGATCATCATCAAGCCAATCGCAATCAAGACCGGAACTTTGATTCGCCGGACAAAGCAGACGCCAGCTGCCAGCTGCCAGCAATTGGGAAATATTCTCGTGTGTGCGCCGCAGCAGAGGATACAATGCGGAAGTCAGAGAATTTCTGCTCTGCAAGCCAATTCGTTCATCAATGAGCTCTCTGTTTCTATCTCTCTCTCTCTCTAGTCTTTAGAAGAAGTCCATCATCTTCGTCATCGTTTCAGGGATCTAAAGTTTTCTATTTTCAGGGGGGGTTTTATATAATATATATCCAGTGGGGGTGGGAGTGGGGCCCATCTCTAACGAGTTTCTTTCATCCTCTCTACTCTCAAAGTCTCCGTAGTAGCGATTCCCCACTATCTCTTTCTCTGATGAGTCCGCGAGCCAGAAATCAGGACCGTTGATTTTGCTGAAGATGCCAGAGACTTTCGGAGGAGTCGGAGTTCGTATGATGGGTTGGCGGGGCAGGGGATTGCAGCTCGCGCGAGAAATCTGAAAGGGAACTTTTTACTTTCAGGGATCAACTCTGTTTGATTGGCTGCACACGTGTAGGCCGGGTGTGGGCTTTGCTAACGTACGCCGCGAGGACCCGTAACTCTCTTTTGTCGGGACTCGGCAGGATGGAAAACGAAGATTGCTCGCTGTCTAATCTGTTTTTATAATTAAAAAAAAAGAAATATTATTTTTTTGCTTGAAATAATAATGCCTTTGATGCCATGCCAAATCAAAGGATCTCGCTCGACGGCCATTACTGAAAAAACAAAACAAAATACGAGAATCAAATATAAATTGTATAAATTTGAGTAAGATTTAAAAATAATTACCGGAATTAGTGGATTTGTCAAATGAATACGTACATCTCGGGGTCCCCAAATCCCACTAATTAATCATTCATACTAATAATAAATTGTAAGTTCCTTCCTTTCCAATATTTCCAGCATAAAATGCAGCCAAGTGAAGTTGGTGTAGTCTCTAGTTTCTGGCATGTAAATATCTGGTCAACCAAATTCATGGTAGAGTAGATTGAGTAGGTGGGGCATGCAGGTAGGCCTTCATCCTTTCTTACGGGCACAAAGAATGGATGTACAAGTGATATTGGAGAAGGGGGAATACATGAGTAACTGTGCTTAACCATTTAAGTTACAAAGCCCTTTTTCTTTTCCTTGTTCTTTTGCTTAGCGTGATTTTATACACTTGTTATGTGGACATTTACACTTGACGTCTATATAAAAAGCGATGAATTTTATGATCCATCTTTAGAGTTATTTATGCATATAGATTTAAATACCATATAACTGAGTAGATGGATAGTTTGAAAGTTTTGACCTCCGATTATTCAAAGACAAAGGGAAGATTTATTACATAGGGATTCATATGAGACTCTTTTGTTTTGGGGAATTTTGATTCTTCTATTCTTTACTAGCCATCTTTACATATGATATGATATGGGGATCCCAACTGAATTCTCATGATCGTTGGACGGTAGACAAAATAATAAAATATATAATGTAAAACTGTGATGGCAGTAACAGTGTCAGTATCCAATGTGCCGTTTTGCATTTGCAGTATAAAAATTCAGAATTAATTAAACTTCAATATATGGATCTTGATGCAGTCTTCATGCACTGTGGTCCAAATGGAGTGTTGGGAATGGACATTTCTCTGTTTTTTTTTTTTAGAATTTTCTCTTCCTATTTATCAACTGTTTATTTATATAGTCGTATATGTACAAAAAAGGATAAATAAAAAAATATCTTAACCATGGTCTCCTGGCTCTTGCAGAATATTTTTCTCTAAAAAAAAAATGCAATTCTCACTAAATGAAAGAGGTTGGGGTGAAAATCAAGGTGGTTGGTGTGAGTGATTCGGCATTCTCATTCCTTAAGAGAGGTCAGGGGTTCGATCCCTGCTCTCGTACGGAGTCACCACTTTAGCCAACACTTTACCCCTTACGGGCCGACCCGGTGTGAGTGGGGATTAGTCTGGGTTGTGGTTAAGGCTTAAAGGTGCCACCCATAATTGGGGCCCATCCAGGACCACCTCATGGTTTAGACCAAAAAAAAAAAGAGGTTGGGGTGAAAACCAAGGTGGTTGGTGTGAGTGATTCGGCACTCTCATTCCTTAAGAGAGATCAGGGTTCGATCCCTGCTCTCGTACGGAGTCATCATTTTGGCCAATACTTTACCCCTTACGGGCCGACCAGGTGTAAGTGGGGATTAGTCTGGATTGTGGTTAAGGCTTAAAGGTGCCACCCATAGTTGAGGCCCATCCAGGACCACCTCATGGTTCAGACAAAAAAAAAAGAGGTTGGGGTGATGGAGGATTCTCGTTGTTAAATCCTTTTTTTCCCCCTTAATAAGTAATGTAAATAATTAAAAGCCACCGGGAGTCAAAGCAGAAATGGTCATCAACCAAGCAGACCATTAGACTGGTAGCATGCATGAACAGATGGACCTATCATTTCCATTTGTTATATTAATTTCTCGCGGCAGCTGGAGAGAAAATTATATTATATTTCAGTCAATAGCTTTTCAAGTAAACCTTCAAGAATAACATCTTCACCTGACCATGCTATATCTATGTATATACAAACAAAATTTTCAAATAAAAGTTTGTGCAAAATTTTGGTCTCTTTAGACTGAGGTGATGAGATTTGATTTTCCCACCAACCTAATTAGTCGCATTGTCCTGTAATCAAATTTCAAAAATGGGCATTGACTTGCATATTAGTGGTTTTTTATTCGAACCTTCATGGCATTTTGATAGTGTGTGTGGAAAACCTCCCTTTCTTTAGAGTACTTCCACTCATTTGCCATGGCAAAAAACAAGGAGAGACAATGGCAGTTATTGTTTACGTGAATAGTGCATGCCCTAACAATTTTTTTGATGCATTCCTACCTATTGCCATGGCAACTCAAGGACAACCACTATTCACATGAGATATGAGGAGAGTAATTTGTATGGAGTTTTAGTGTGGGAAGTGAAGAACATGGCTAGATATTTATAGAAAAAAAAAATTATGAAATTTTTGGTATTTTTGTCCTTATTTTTTGTACGTAAATTGGCCAATGACATCAGCATGAGGTCAACTTGCTCAGGCAAGTCTTGTTTTTGGGCTCGCTAAGCTTGAGTATGGCCCACTGCTGCCCAAGCGATTTGTGCTTGGTGTGGGCATTTTTTTCCAAACCAAGCCCCCTTTTGTCATGACTAAAAGGACCCGTGGAATTGCTCTTATAGGTTAAATTATCGCTTCACTTGTATAAAAAATAATAATAATAATTGAGATGATTGAGTGATTGTTCTCTCATAGTGCAATTGTTCACATTTAATGGCAAACGTAAGCCTAACATTGAATGGAAATTATCTTATGAATAATTGTTGGGGTTGTTGATATAACGGGTCATGGCATGCAACTGACCATGCAAATATATATTATGAGAATTTCAAACTCACAATCACCATCAATAATTTTTCGTCGAAGGACACCTATCCACAATTTATCTATCTTTTTCATTTTTTCTGGTCAGACAATTTATCTATATTTTTTTGAGAGGTTGACTTTGTTTAATTAGTCATCTCGGATCTTGTAAACTACATCAAATATGAGAAATGTTGTTTAGTGCCAACTTATTCAGACTTGAAATATGTTTGAAGCAAATACGTGCAAGGAACGTTATATTTATATGATCAAAATCTTTAAATCATATAAGTAGATGGTAGCATTTTCGCTCACCATTTTAACTTAAAGTGTATTTTTATTATTATTTTCGACATTTGACACGTGTTTTTTAGCATAATTATGGTTTCATAAATACGAAGCAAAGAGTTAATTATAATTATGCTAATAAACAAGTATTAAGTGTTAAAAAAAATCGTGAAAATACACTTTGAGTTAAAATGATGAGCAAAAAATGTTCTATATGTAGATGAGACGGTAGGTGATGAAATAAATGGGTGCGCCGTGGATCTGACATTGATTGCTTGGCTAGTAATATCAGTGGTACAATATTAACGTTGTTCCATGAGCTATCCTTATCATCAATTTCTCTACCCAAACAAACTCCACCGCAAATTATTCAATGCACCTTTAACAATTTATGATTTTATGTCTTCTCCTTCAAATTTTCAATGGCACCATGTACCTACCAACTCGACCCCTTTACCAATTTTTTAAATTCGTTTTGGTATGAACTTAACTCGTACAACAAATTCCACTAAAATACAACACGTTTCAGTACTTGATTTTCTTCCATTCAAACATTATTTTCATATAGTTTATGATCGTGATTGATGTCGAGCTCTATCTACATCCGTTATTAGTGAGATTTATAACTTCAATGGTAAAACATCTAATCATGTATATACATGTTAAGAATTTAACTCCCGTCCTTACTTTCTCGAATAAATAAATAAAAAGAAGCATATCAAGTACTCAACGACAAAGCCCAGAAAACAGGAAAGTGTCAAGTTTTGCCTCCCATGCCCTTCTTAAATCACCCAGTGGCCACTTGAGGACATATATAAACTTGCTTCCTATATAGTTTGTGCTCTACATTATTTTCCTGTGTCTTCACCCAGGAATATATATAACCCTACTGTGAAAGTGACCTGGTCGGTCAACTGGGGCATGGTTGAGAGAGAAGTGAGCTCCTTAGTTTAATTACATGCATTTGTTTGGAGACCAAGTTGGATTTTCTCGAGAGAAAAAGGTTGTCACCTGGCCCAAGGTAACCCTTTCGAACCAGACATGTACCACCATCAAGCCTCATCACAATAAATATTTATTTATAGGAAAATGCTAGGGAGACCAACTTGGGAGTTGGATTTTCTCGAGAGAAAAAGGTTGTCACCTGGCCCAAGGTAACCCTTTCGAACCAGACATGTACCACCATCAAGCCTCATCACAATAAATATTTATTTATAATTAACCACCAATCCATGTGCATTATAGGGCATTTGACTGTACGATTAAAGAATGTCATGTCCTTAATCCAAGGGTTGAGGTATTGCCAACGATGTGGGGAAGGTAGGGTTTTGGCCCTTGGACTAGTTTTGAGTGTTTTGACTTTCCTCCTCCTACGTGTTGGAAAACTGTATATGAAAACAATGACCTGGAGGAGCTGCATATCTGATCTGTACTGGCAATGGCATGGGATTGTTTACTTGCATTTTTAGTTTCTAGTCATCTTTTTAATACTTGGAGGCTACTCAATACTTTGTTATCTCTCTGTCGCTTCGTTGAAATCATAATTTGAGCCCTTTTTTAAAA